GTCCCGGGAGGGCAGCAGCGTAGTTAGCCCAAGTCACCTAGACGTGACCCCGGCCCCCTCGGGCCCCAAACCCAGACTTTATTGAGTTTGCTGAATACTTAGGACTTGCTAATGAATAATCCTTTCGTCCTTTATCAAACGAGGGGCGTCGGGGGTCCCAGAGCGCCTATCCCGGCTCATAGTCCTCCCTCCGGGTCAAGCTTTCAGTCTGGGTAGGGTCGGTCTGGGGCGAAATCATTCCATCACCTCCCCCTTCCCATTTACCCATTTCCTGATGGAATTGTCCGCTGGCTCAGATGTCACCGAATGGGGTCAGGCACATGTAGTTCTTCCCTGGGAACCTCCTGGGAAACTAGAGCTGCCTCTTCACCCTCTTGAAATTCCTGGTCCGAAGGGACAGAAAAATTGGTCCTTTCCCCTAGGTAGAGACCCTCCCCAGCCCCCACCCCAAACCAAAGTTGTCTTCTCTCAGCTCCCAGTTTATGGGGCCCTCCAGTTGTGCTGACCTTTTTGGGTACCATATCAAGTTACAAACCTCCCATCTATTTCATTGTCCCCTCCTCAACCTTCCTGCCTGCTCCACTTCCGATGAATATTAATGTTTCAGGTTAATTTTGCCCCCATGAACTTCCATTTTTCCTAGGTGGGGTCTTGTTTTATTATTCTTGCCCGAGTCTCTGACCTCCCCGGGGCTCTAGGGATCACTTCTCTCCCCTCTCCTTACTGGGGTGCCAACACTAATTAATTGGCTTGCAAACCTCTGCAAATTTCATTCAAGCCCTAGTAAGGATCTCTAGCTAGGGCCCAGGGGTGCCCATAGGACTGAGGTAAAGGGTAGAATGGTGTTCCTGACAGAAGAAGTCGGAACATTTTCCCAGTCGGCTGTGTCGACATTTGGTCTTTTCAGAGGCTTTCACTTCAAATAACCATCTCCTACCACGGGTAACTTTAACTTCTACGCGCTGCAAAAGCAGCAAGAAAATGGTAGGAGGTTACCGCTCCTCAGCCACAGCCTCTTTAAGGTTTTGCCTGGCATCTCCACCCACCGAGGACAGAAGATCCTTGGGTGATGCTGCTTCCACTCACATATAGGTGGTAGAAGTGTATAGATCAAGGTCTTCACACAGTCTTCGATCTCCTTCTCTGCCCTCTCCTATAACAGTTGATGGAAGCACGGCCACCAGCTGATTTTCATTAAACCTTTCCTGTGAATACTTCCATTTTAACCCGTTGGGTAAGACTTCGTGGTTATGGTCTCTTCACAGCCTGGCCCCTTTCCCACTCCTCCAGGCTTCCTTGTATATTAATCCTCTCCATAATCTCTACCACTAGCTGCCCCTGGTGAGTTGCTGTTCCAAAGACATGACTTCCATCCTTCCCTCCTCCCCATGCCTTTGCATTGTCCCCTTTAGCCCACAACACTCCTGATTGCTGCCCAAACCATCTTAAAATGTGATTGGGAAATATTTAACAAGCTAAATAAAAATAGAATAGAACATAGATTATGTGACTATGTGGTATTTTGTTTTTTTTAATGTGGTTTTCTAAGTCATTATGGGGCCTGCAGGGATCCTTGTGTATGATGCAGTGGCCTCCACTTTCTATTTGAGTTTGATGCCTGCATTGGTAGAAGGAGCTTCCTCATATGGGAGTCCCACATAACACTGAAAACAGCTCAAGTTCTCATGCCGGTGCTTGTTCTTCTATACAAACATGTTTCCAGATTAGAGTGTAAGCTCCTTAAGGGTAGGGATTGTTTCACTTTTGTCATTTTATCCCCGGTGCTTAGCTTAGCACAATGCCTGGTACATAGTAGATGCTTAATAAGTGCTTTTTGAGTGATTGATTGATGGTTTCAGAGGACTGAGCATTTACAAACTGTGCTCCCCTTCTTGATGTTAAGGATGTTTCTCGGGCATCATATGTTGTGGGATTTTGGGGAGAGGCAGAAAGGAGACTGAGGAGGTCCCCTTGCGTGACTCAGGCTCAAGATGTGCCAGTTTCTGCCATGCAATCTTAAGTCCCCTGCCCTCCATGGTAGCAGGGTCCATCCTCCCGACCTGTCCCTGGCCGCAGAAACAAGGAAGATCAATGGAGAGATAAGGCACTCAGAAGATAGACCCTGCCTAGGTCACCCCCAGGGACTAGCTAAGCCTGGGCTGTCAGAAACATCTCCCGTGCCAGGAGTTCTAAGCAATATTTATTTTTACCAGGCCTCTCAGACGTTCTTGTTTGGAATGAGAGATCCTGAAAAGCCCTGCCAGAATAGCCTGTTTTTCTCTTCCTGCTTTGTCTGTTGGGACAGGCCACTGGAAAAGGACTTGCTGAGCCCAACCAATGAGAAAAGGGTCTTAGAGGCCATGGCTTTTTTGTAAAGGATGCTCCCTTTTCTTCCTCCTTCCAGGGACTTGATCTCTATCCAGAGGTCAGGGTCAAATCAGGCCCAGCTCATTGGCCATCACTAACCTCCACTGTCACTCCTGATGAAAGCCTAGATAGTACCAGAGTTTCCAGAGGGAAAGGTGGGTTGCTAGGGGCTTCTTGGAACACTTGTCATTTCTGGAGAAACTGGATTTAAAAAAAGAATCTCTACATCTGCAGAAGAAACACCATACCCTTCAAACTTCAGTTGGAAAACCTCCCAAGAAAGTTATCTTCAGAGGTTTTAGAGTTGGAAGGCACCTCAAAGGTCATCCCACCAACCTCCTTCATTTTACTGATGAAGAAACTAAGGCTGAGCAGTTAGGTGACTTGAACAGGGTCACACAGTTAGTAAGTATCTGAGATGGGATTTGAAATGGGGTCTTCCTGATTACAAATCCAGCCATTTGCAATCCACTACCCTGTCTCTGGGACTTATAAGACTTTCCTAGGTCATCTCAGAGTCACAAGAGATCTCTGGCACTCTTTAGTCCAGCTCAGCCTGGAAGAAGAAACCCACTAAATCTCATGCAACAAAGGACCATCCTTCCAGTGATAGGAGAAAAGAATAATGGATTAGAGGTCAAAGGATCCAGGTTCAAATTCTGCCATCATGGTCTTAGCTTCTCTGAGATTCAGTTTCTTCTTCTATAAAGTAGGGGTGGGGTGAGGTGGGGTGGGATGAGATGCCCTCCATGGTTCCTTATCGATCACTCCACATTTAGGAACCCATAAACCTTCCAAGGCAGCCCATCCCATTTTGATACTACTCTGTGGGCAAGTTTGTTATTATAGGATCATAGAATTAGGGTTGGAAGGGGCTTTAGACACCATTAAGTCCAACCTTTTTTTTTTTTTTTTAAAAAAAAACAGGTTGAGGAAAGTCAAGCAAGTTGCCCTAGACCAGCCAGGAAGTGTCTAACAGGGTTCAGATTTCAGTCTTTCTGACTCTACAGGCAGTGCTCTGGCCACTGGGCCACCCTGTACATCAAACCTAAATGAACATTTTTTAAACTTCTACCTTTGTTCCTAGGCCATGTCCTGGTATAGACTCAGGATTCGAACCCAGTCCCGAGCAGGTGTTCTGTTCACTAGCTATAGCACTGACTTTATGGATGGGCTCCCCCTCCTTGGGAAGGACAATGAGTTATGGAGGAAAGGCTGTTCTTGAGGCTGTTTTATAGGAAAAACAAGAATAAACCAGCTTGCCGCATTTCTTCAGTTCTCTTCCTCAGTCGTCTAGAGGGGCCTGTTTCTGGTCACTGGGAAAATGGATCTTTTAGGGAATTCTCCTGAAATTATCCTGGGGCTTTCTGCACCAGAGTACACCAGCTTCACCTCCAGTTTCCCCCTGGGCTGGGAAGGGAGCATTCACAGAAGCAGAAATACCAATGAAGATTGGAAATATAATCAACTAAAGAGTGGAGGGAACAAGCATTTATTGAGTGCCTACAGTGTACCGGGCACTACGTGAAGCATTTTATAAATATTGTCTCATTTGAAAACTTAATCCAGCTCATGTTTCTCTGTACTCACCAACATTAAATCATCCACACCACTATTTCTAGCATGATATACCCCTATGGACTTGCAGTTAGGAAGACCTGAGTTCAAATCTAACTTCAGATACTTCCTAACTGTTGGGACTCTAGGGAAGTCACTTCTCTCTCAACCTCAGTTTCCTCTTCTGTAAAATAGGGACCATAACAGCACCCATCTCCCAGCACAAAGGGTTGTACAGATCTAATGAGGCAATATTTGCAAAATGCTTTGGAAGCTTTAAATCACTATATAAATGCTAGC